AAGAGGTCTGGAAGGACCAGCCTGGCAGCACAGGGAGGGTCTGTCTCCACAAGTAATAAAATGAGCTCGCCGGGCATGGCGCTGCCCACCTGTGGTCCAGCTACTCGGGAGGCTGCAGCAGGAGGATCGCTTGAGCCCAGAGAGTTCAGGCTGCAGTGAGCCGTGATCACACCATTGCACTCCAGCCTGGGCGACAGAGCAAGACTCTCAGAAAAGGGTCTGGAAGGAACTAACTAAAAAATTTTCATTCCCTGGAGATACACAGTGCCTTTTATAGACAGGCTATTCTGTGATTTTGTTGTAACACTAGAAACATGGGAAGTCAGATTTTTTACCAAATGACCTTTCAAGTTTGATGATAAATGTTCGAATCTACTCAGTGGTTAAAGATCATCTTTCTTTTTAAGAATGCAAGTTCTAGCCGGTTTTTCCTACAAGGAATCCAGTTGAATACAACTCTTCCTGATGCCAGAGGTGAGAACCCACAATCCCTGGCGCCCCGCCCCCCACCCAGAGTGTCCTGGAGTCACTTGACTTCTGTGTGTGTTGCAGACCCCACCTTTAAAGCTGCCAACAACTCCCTGAGAGCACTGCAGGCCGCAGTTGGCAATTCCTACAAGTGCAACGCCGAGGAGCGCGTCCGTGTCACGAAGGCGTTTTCCGTCAACATATTCAAAGTCTGGGTCCAGGCTTTCAAGGTGGAAGGTGGCCAGTTTGGCTCAGGTGAGTGTTGCCAAGGGCAGCTGTCTCGGGGTGGAGAGGACGTGCTTCAGACTCCATCTGTGGATATTTAATCGCTTCTGTGTGGGCTGGGGCAACACGCCTGTTCCTCGGCAAGCCGTTTCTTCTTCCTGGTCTGAGATTCTAGAGGAAACTCCCCCTGCTTTAGAGAGGCCCACCGTATCTCTTAGCTAGGATCTCTGGTACCATTTGAGAGTAAGGGTGTCATTTAAGAACAGTGGTGGCGTTTCTCCCGTGAAAGTTGAATACAAAACCTTCATCCGATGCACTCTGTGTTCCAGGAAGCCCAGAGGCCCTGGACGCGGCACAGCTGCCCAGCCACAGCCCCTGATTCCAGCCGGGGGAAAAACGTGTGTGGTTTCCCAGCTGTGCAGGGCGCCAGTCTCTGCAGCGGCTTCCCCAAGCGACAGCTGGACCTAGAGCCGTCTGCCAGAGTGCCTCTTGCCTTGTGGCTGATGTGGGGGAGTGGTGGGGAAAGAGGCCTGTTTGCAGGCCCCTGTGTGACTGGAACCTGACACTGTCCGTGTGTCTTGGCAGTGGAGGAGTGTCTGCTGGACGAGAACAACATGCTGATCCCCATCGCTGTGGGCGGCGCCTTGGCGGGGCTGGTCCTCATCGTCCTCATCGCCTACCTCGTTGGCAGGAAGAGGAGTCACGCCGGCTACCAGACCATCTAGCCTGGTGCAGGCACAGCGGCTGCGGGCCTCAGTCCTTTCCCTGGCACAGGGTCCTGTCGAGGGAGGCTCACTTTCTGGCAACGTTTCTCAAATCTGCTTCATTCAATGTGAAGTTCATCTTGCAGCATTTACTATGCACAACAGAGTAACTATTGAAATGACGGTGTTAATTTTGCTAACTGGGTTAAATATTTTGCTAACTGGTTAAACATTAATATTTACCAAAGTAGAACTCTAAGGAAGGGTGGGAGCGCTGCTCTCTCCGAGGGAGGGTGGGAGTGCTGCTCTAAATTGGCACTGGCTCAACTATCATTTGACTTTAAGATTCTGGTGTTTGGTTTCTTCATTCTTTACTGCACTCAGATTTAAGCCTTACAAAGGGAAAGCCTCTGGCCGTCACAGTTGGGATGCATGAAGGTCACTCATCGTTAGGCTGACATGCTCACACAGTTTCAACAGTAGAGAGGGAAAGTCCTAAGACAGAAGAACTCCAGAGATGAGCATCTGAAGTGCTCCAGTTCAGCTTTAAAGGCCAGGACGGGCTGTCCACACGCGGCTGGCAGCCCCGTCCGCGTTCCAGCGGCACTTGGCGGCACGTCCTTGGGCGTTTCTAATGCTCTGCGGCTCAAGGGCTGGCACTTTTTTAAATATAAAAATGGGTGTTATTTTTATTTTTTTTGTAAAGTGATTTCGGTCTTCTGTTGACATTCGGGGTGATCCTGTTCTGCGCTGTGTACAATGTTAGATAGATGCGCTCTCCTGGGGTGTCGCCGCGGCTTGGGGGTTGTACACAGGATCGGCTCACATAACGCATTGCCTGTAACAGTGTAATAAAAAGCCTCTTTCTTTTTTGTCTGGGCCTTGTCCTTTTGTCAGCTAAGATGGGAGCTCGTGAGAGAGGGACTTCAGGGAAACGGTGGTGAGGCTGGTCTTGGTGCTGTGATAGGGTGTCAGGGAAATGGGGGTGAGGCTGGTCTTGGTGCAGGGAGAGGACGTCAGGGAAATGGGGGTGAGGCTGGTCTTGGTGCAGGGAGAGGACGTCAGGGAAATGGGGGTGAGGCTGATCTCAGCACAGCCTGGTGTTGGGAGAGCTGGCGTGGCCGTTCTTACAGACAGTAGTTTGAGGTAGTTGGATGTCTCAGGATCCGTCTTTGGTTTTGACAACTTGGCCGTATTGCTGTGGTCTCTCCAGGCAGACTCCCACCCATGTCTTGAAGAATGCTGTCACAATAAACGTGGGGGGAGGTGAGGAGCAGGGCAGGAATGGGTGAGAACATCACCCTTCGTGTCTGCCGAGGCGGAGCCCTTTGGAGATCAGTGCAGGCCCCCAACATGGTCATCAGGGCTCCCCAGTTTAAGATGGAAAGTGGCTGTGTTCAGACCTGAGGCTCTGGAGATCAGATCACCTTTAAAAAGGCAGCCTCCCTCCCCCAGGCCACATGGGGAGCCCTCTTGGGTCCTGGGGACGAAGGTGGCTGTGCTGAGAGCCTTCAGAGCAGGAGCTCAAGCCTAACAAAACCTCACTATCAGGATCTGTAGACCTTGGTGAGGCTGAGGACACACAGCAGGGGCCCTAGAATTCAGGCTCCAACCTGCATCTCAGCACCATGTCCCAGAATCTGGCTTCAAGAACTAGAGTGGGTAAGGCCCCAGGTGGCCGCACACCGCGTGCTCTTCTAGCAGGCTTCAAACAGCGGAACTGTGCCTTGGGGCAGGAATGGCCAGGTGGGAGCAGGTGCCTAGCATGGTGAAGGCCACGGCAGTGGGCCAGAGCACTCTTCAGACTCATCCTGGGTCTGAACAGTGCAGGGAGTGATGGGAAGCTCCTGGTTCCTGCTGCTGACCCCAGTAGGCCCCCGTCAGCCCTTTGCAGATGTTTTAGGATTGTAGCATCATAAGAGAGGATTCAGGAAATGGCCTGTAGTAAAGTAAGCAGTCTGGAGGGGGAAGGAAGGCTTTGGAGGGCCCAGACCCAGCCGGGAAATCCCCGTGGGAGCTGGGCCTGCATGGCAGTGGAGCCGGCAGCATGGCCCCCGCAGGTGGCAAGGCTCTGACACCGGGCCGGTGATGCCAGTAGCTCTGCCTCGGAGGCACCAGCTGGCTCCACTTCCAGGGGAGGCACAGTCACTCCTGAGTTCTTTCCGGGCCAAACCCAACAAGCGGGTGACATCAGAGGTGGGTGACATCAGAGACGGTGCCAAGCCTGTCCTATCCAAGCCTGGACCGCAGCGTGCATGGTCCCTGGCAGGGGACTCTGGGTGCTTGGCTGGGGCTGGAGTGTTGGGACTGCGGCCAGAGGGCGGGGCACAGGGCGCCATGTCCGCACTGCGTGACACAGTGGCACCTTGGCAACCCCACCTTTGGCTGCCCTGAGTGTTTGGCTGAGGAGGAGGGCTGGCTCCAGAGCCCCAGAGCGGTGTGGTGACTGATGGCCGGGGTGGCGTCTGCCCTGATGGTAGTGAGTTGTGAATTGGGACATTTGGAGCTACATGTCCTCAGGGCAAGGGGTACCTCCTGGCTCATGCGCCTGCCTCGTGCTCAAGGTGAGGAAGGGCCCAGATGGCAGCGTGATCATGTAGGAGGTGAGCATCGTCCCTTGGGCATGGGAAGGCCACGTCCTCTTAGGACGGCTGCCATGGCTGTGCTGCTCTGGCGAAGGCCGGCCTCCTCCTGGGAGGAGCGGGGACAGGGTCTGCAAGGAGCACCTGCTGTAGATGGACACAGACCTGGAGACGCCAAGGGGAGTTTTCAAGTCGCTGCTGAGGGCACTGGCCAGGTCGGGCAGCGGCGGCAGGCAGCCTGTCTGCCCCCCACCCTCACACTGTCTGTGCCTTCCTGGCATCCCACCCACGGCTCAGCCTGGCCTCAAATTCAGCCCCAGAGGCAGCAGGCAGGGTTGTCAGCATGCCCAGGAGGCAGCACAGCTTGTCGGGACAGGACAGGGGAGGGAAGGGAGTCTCAGGGCCTGGGGGGGGGCCCCCTTCCGGCCGGGGCCCAGTGTGCCAAGGCACTCGGGCCACTGCAACCCTGTTCCCTACGTCCGGCACGCTTGTCTGGTTCATTCGTGTCATGTGATAATTTTTAAATCATTTTAAAAATTCCCTTTCATACATAGATACCATGAATACTCTGCAGCCACGAAAGGAATGAGATCACGTCCTCGGCAGGACATGGATGGAGCTGGAGGCCCATATCCTCAGCAGACTAATGCAGGAACAGAAAACCAAACACCGCATGTTCTCACTTGTAAGTGGGAGCTGAAGGATGAGAACACTCGGACACAAGGGGGAAAGCCACACACGGGCTGTCGGGGAGGAAGAGCTGAGGGATGCTGGGCTTCATGCCTGGGTGACGGGGTAATGTGTGCACCAAACCTGCACACCCTGCACCTGTACCCCAGGACGTAAAAGTTGAAGGAAAAAAGTTACCTTTCTAAAGAGAAATCACCTACACACGCAGGAGCCTCACATAAAGTGAACACCGTGCCACAGAAAGCAATAGAATATTTATGCTGCCGCTGGGAAGGCCACAGTGATCGCTCACTACTCTAGTTTCCAGTGGGCTGAGAAACTGATCACAAACTCACCGGTGTTGGCATACTTTATTAGATACCCACATTCACATTTTATAAATTATTGATGTCTTTGGGTAAAAATAAGTTTTCTTTAGAAAAGTATGACTTCATAGCTAATCATCAAAAGCTGGTAGAATGACCTGATTTTAAACTTCTCTTTAAAAAAATTCACAACTAAAGTGTAGTGACGTCAAGCATTTACAACGATAAGAAGGAAAGCAGTGACAGTTGGTCCAGTGTCAACTCTGCAAAGGGGAATCGTTGTCAGCCTGGAGACGGAACCCAGGGCCGGGCGCGCTCACCCCTGTGCCAGCAGGCGGGCCCTGCAGCTCTCGCGGAGTTTGGCGACAGTGGCCATGGATAAGCTTCCGGGTTCTGAAAATATTTTCTGGAATGCAAACAGAATTAGGTTAAAAACAAACCCAACAACACATTTCCACCTCAGCTCTCCCGGACTTCGGCAGACGGACGGGTGGGGGCTTCGTGTCAGGCAAGGGAGGAGAAGCCCACATCTGGGGGGTTCTGGGGTAATCCCAGATTGTCACCACTGCACTCCTGCCCTGGGGCCTAGGACCGCAGCTCTGCTGCTCAAAAATGTTAAATGAATCAAACAGTTGAAGCATTTAACATTTTTTTGTTTTTTGTTTTTGCGATGCAGTCTTGATTTGTTGCCCAGGCTGGAGTGCAGTGACGCGATCTCAGCTCACTGCAACCTGTCTCCTGGGTTCAAGCAATTCTACCTCAGCCTCCTGAGTAGCTGGGACTACAGGCATACACCACCATGCCCGGCTAATTTTTGCATTTTTAGTAGAGACATGATTTCACCATGTTGGCCAGGCTGGTCTCAAACTCCTAGCCTCAGGTGATCCACCCACCTCGGCCTGCCATAGTACTGGGATTACAGGCATGAGCCACTGTGCCTGGCCACTTTGGACGTTTTTTTTTTTGTTTTAGTTTTCTGGAGACAGAATTTCACTCTTGTTGCCCAGGCTGGAGTGCAGTCGTGTGATCTCGCCCACTGCAACCTCTGCCTCCCAGCTCAAACGATTCTCCTGCCCCAGCCTCCCAAGTAGCTGGGATTACAGGCACGCACACAGCTAATTTTGTATTTTTTGTAGAGATGGGGTTTCTTCATATTGATCAGGCTGGTCTCAAACTCCTGACCTCAGGTGATCTACCCACTTCAGCCTCCCAAAATGCTAGGCCACGGTGTCTGGACCCTTTTAGACGTTATTAATGGAAGAATGGTACCATGATGAAAAAACCTGTCCACACTTGGTACAGGCCCTATGCAAAATAGCCATTTTCCCCTGCAGAACCAGTTAAGGGGAAGGCTGCTCACTGTGGTGCAGGCTCGGGGTCGCCTCCCTCCACCTGAGCTGGGGCTGGACCTGCAGGACTGGGCTGCCCGTCCTTGAGGAGGCTGGGATATCTGGAAACTCTGGGATATCTGGAAACTCCTTAACATGGGCAGCACTTGCTTGTGCTGAACAGTGTGCACCCTTGGATACCACCACGTGGTGAGACAGATGGTGCTCTCCCTGGGGAAGGCCATAGCAGTGGGGTGGTGAGGGCACCAGCGGGGGCCAGGAAGGATACTTCCAGCACTGGCAGGGCGCGGTCCCATAGCCACAAGCATGCAATGCCGTCCGGACAAAGTGCACTCATCCAGAGGCTGTGGCAGAATCAAATTACATTTGGTGCCCCTGGTTCTCCCATTCATTCAAGGCCAGAACCTTGGGAAATAAGTGGCCTGAGGAGCAGAGGCAAAGCAAGGGCAGAGGATTTCAGACCCACATCTGCCACCCAGGCCCCCCTGGAAGTGCCCCCTTCCCACCTGATAAAGGATCCTGTCAGGGCTGCTGGACACAGGCTGGAGAAAGCTGGATGGGGGCTTCAGGCCACCGCCCAGCACATATGCTGACCCGGTGGGTGCAGATCAGGGCTGAGCAGGAGCCAGGCCAGGTGGCTGAGTCCCCCCTAGGCTCCTGACACCCCCTATCCTTACGGAAAGCTGGTTTGTGTTGGTTCTGTAACTTCTCATCTAACTCAAATGAATCCTCAAGGTCACACTACACCATCGGACACCAGCCTTCACTCACGAGCACAGGGTGACACTACAGCATCGGACACCAGCCTTTACTCACGAGCACAGGGTGACGCTACACCATGACACACCAGCCTTCACTCACAAGTGCAGGGTGACGCCACACCATCGCACACCAGCCCTCAGCACAGGGTGACGCTACACCGTCAGACACCAGCCCTCACGAGCGCAGGGTGACACTACGCTATTGCACACCAGCCCTCACGAGCGCAGGGTGATGCTATACCATCGCACATCAGCCTTCACTCACGAGCGCAGGTGACACTACACCATCACCAGCCTTCACTCATGAGCGCAGGGTGACACTACACCGTTGCACACCAGCCTTCACTCAAGCGCAAGGTGACACTACACCGTCGCACACCAGCCTTCACTCAAGCGCAGGGTGACGCTACGCCATCGCACACCAGCCTTCACTCACAAGTGCAGGGTGACACTACACCATCGCACACCAGCCTTCACTCACGAGCACAGGGTGACACTACAGCATTGCACACCAGCCCTCACGAGCACAGGGTGACGCTACAGCATTGCACACCAGCCTTCACGAGCACAGGGTGACGCTACACCATCACACACCAGCCTTCATTCACGAATGCAGGGTGATGCT